AAGAAGGGAGAATGGCGGCGATCAACGACGACACGTCTCAAGCGGATGTAAATTGGGAAGCTGAGGGCGCCGATGGCAGAGACGGCGCTGCCGGTTTATATAGCTCACTGAAGAGGCCATGGCAGCTCGAGTATGCCTATTCTGGCTGACAAGGGATGGATTCATGATGGGTGACGACAGGAAACAGAAAACGGACGCGCCGAGGTGCTGAATTTAGACCACCCGTGTTGATGATGAAAGGGGGGAAGAAGGAGGGGGGGCCGAAACTAGACACTGAGACGGGCACATGTCATTCCGGGACGTGTAATGGGGTCCGTGCATGAGCCAGCCCTCGAGGTATATAGTACCTGCCCCGCGACCTCCTGTTGCTGGACTTCCCGCACTGCTCGTGCCTCCTAAAACGGCGACACTTTCCGCCCAAAACGGCGATTCCAGCAGCGCTTTCTCGGTTTAAGGAGTAAAAACTATTATCATACAATAATTATAGTTTTAAAGAAAGAAATTAATTTAAATCTAGTTGATATTTATAGAGTATATGAAGTATTATACTAAATAATTATTAAAGTTATATTATTTAATAGTTAATAGTATATATAAAGCTTATGTTACAATTCGTGCCCGTAACAGCGCTGTGAGGCTTCTACAAGCAGCTGTACACACTACTGTAGTTGCTACAATAGCAGTTATAGCCCAATCTTTTGCCCTGTGGCGTAGTGGTTAGGCATAACCGTTACAGCTTATTAATGTAAAGAAGTTTTACTTATAGTTAGTAAGTTCAGTTTTATTTAATATTAAGTCAATATATATATATATATATCAATAATATATATAAGTTAAATAAAGTTAGTTTAACTTAATTTATCTTTATTATTATATAAATTAAATAGAGTCAGTTTAACTAATCTTATCTCTATAAGTTATGTATAACTATATGTTAAATAGTATGTATTTAACTTACTACAGGGTAATTAGGTATCAACTAGAGGAAAAAGTGATGCACTATTCTCACGTGCGTCAGAATGTGTTGAGTCGTAACAGAAGCTAGCAGTAGCAACTCCACGATTACGAGACTTAGATGAGAGCAGGTTGTTGTTCTCTTCATTCAATCCTAAAGTTTGAGTCAAGTCTCTGATGTTCCGTCACTTAACATAGGATAGTGCCTATGATATGACTATGGAAACGTTATAGTCTTAGCTTCTTTGCATGGTTTGAGCGCTCATCCATAAGCAGGGGGCATGTCTTGGCAGGACAAAACTTGTGACCACGACCTCCATACATAGCTTGACCAAATTTTGAAACGAAACCTAGTTCAAGGACTACGTGTCATAAAGTGGATCGTAATCAATTTGACGTCAAGTGCCGTTACCCAAATACCAATAATCAGGCCAGTGCGGCGACTAGGGTAAGGATAGTCTTAGACGCGGTCACCGAGAGAGCAAATTTGAGTTTCGTATTGAGAAACTTGATCAAAATGTGAACAAAGCTCATGTTTTCCTGAATACAGCCGCTGTCAGTGCTTATTATATTTAAGCTGCCACTGTTCGCCGCGGAATCAATTTTAACCACATACACTCATCTGTACATACACAACGCCATTCACCTACTTCCATCTCACAACTTGGCATTATCCAAATCTTAGTATCCAACTAAGTTTCTCAACACGGTTCGTCATCTTATGCTCGCTTTTTGTATTGTTGAGGCGTTACTAATTCGTTGAGATTAAGACCATGAAGCTCATTGCTATTGTCGCTGGGCTCCTGACCGCTGGCCTTGTTACAGCCGATAGCTCCAAAAACTGTCAGCCTTTCACGTTTACGTCGAAGAAAACTGCCTGCTACAACGACTACGATGGGTGCGTTCTAGGTACTTGCAAAGACAAGTTCGTATTTCTCAAGTGCACTTGCCCGGACTCCCATCCGCATGTCAAGTGTGGTGTGACCTGTTGAGGTGGACTCAGGTGTGAGACTGGGCTTAGGTTCATAACTGAGAGGGGCTAATAAACTCATCAACTTGTTCTAGTTCATCTTTTACAATGCGGCACTGTGATGAGGATAGGAATATACTTGTTGTTTTTGTTTCGAGGTGCAGTTTATATCTTTGTATTGAAGCAGGACGTGCCCTGTCGTTCCTCAACCCTCGCTGCTATCGCACCTAAAGGTTTACTGCGAAAAGTCTCTCAGGAATCCATACGAGCTATATCACAAGCTTACATGGCACTAAATGTTCCACCTGAGCCGACCTTGCCCTTTTCAAATCCTTTGCGTTACACCAGTACCTGGAACCTAAAATATGCGACCAGTTCATTCTCAATTACTCTAATTCTTCATAATGGACTTGAATAACAGGAACCTCATCCTTAAGTCGCCAGTAATGCTATTTATGTGCTATGAGAAATTTGTCTATTCCTGACTGGAGAGGGGCAGAGGGATTTTCACTCTTGGTTATGAGGCTCCACTTTCTAGTGAGACTCAAGGCACAGCGCGACTAGGGGATGAGTCCATTGTTTAAGCCAAGTAAATCTCTTGACAGACCTTGCTGCGCGCTCTCAGTGCCACTCTATTTCACTGCCATGCCATCGGTGCGTTAGGCCATGCCCATGTGCTATGTATAAGTCCTGTTTTAGAGGGTATGTTTGGGGGTATCCAGCAGGCGGCGAAGGTTTTCAGCAAGCAACCAAGGAGAGATGGACGCTTTCGTGAATGAATTATTCGTGAATATGAGAATCGCATTAGTGGCATAGGGAAGGCAACTCTATATCAAGTATATGGCCATGGACCGCGGTGCTAGTTTGCTACTTAATCTACAACCCGAATAACGGTACTGTCGTTGTCGATCTTGACGATAGTACCTTGATTGATATTCATTTGGAGGTCCCATTTTTCCATATCGAATGCTAATGATGTTCAAACCATAACACGAATCGTCCAGAAGCAAATCATCTAAGCAGACCGCTTAGGTAAAAGAAAGATACAGGTCATTCCAAAAGCATCTCCATCAACTAAAATTGGAATCGATGGGGTTGGTTCGCGCCGGTGAAGATAGAGGTGCAAATTCCTTCCTAATGTTCGAAAAGTATACTCTTGACTAGACAGCTGAGTAACTCATCGTTAACATGACTCAATCGGCTGGTTGAAATTCAGTCCAAGAGGCGACGCAGCATAGTCTCGGCAGCGACCGCCTACTTGAACCATTCAGGATCATATGCTTTTGGCTTATAAGAACTTTTATGTATCGACGCACACCGTGTCTGTATTTAAAGAAGAATAACTACAAAAAGGAAACATATCTCAATGGGAAAAGGTGAGCGTGAGAAAGAGAAGAAAGACTAATGTGTTGATCACAATCCTCGCCCCGTCACCTTACAATATGCGCATCTGGCTTGGCATCTTCCACTTCGATCATCATGTCCCTGCGGACGTAGATACCGGTGCAGTGGTACTCATGCGAGCTATTATAGTCGTCTGTCTCACTAGATATGATCGTCTGGGGACCTTCCGTATAGTCTCGAGGCGCCTCTTGCTCGTGGTCTGCGAGGCCGTATGTCGAGCTGGACTCGTCTTCTTCTTTCTTCTTCAGCGTTCGACTGATTGTTTCCAGACGGATATCAACTCGAGCACTTCGGCTGATAGGGTGACTGCTTTGAAAAGAACTGAGAAGCTTGCTGGGGAGAATGACTTTGAAGATCGGCCGTAGCAGAGGAAAACAGGCTGAGCGGTTCAAGTTAGTGGAAACCCCGTTTACTAAATCATCTTATGTGTCACTCACCAGAAACGATCGCGACGTTTATTTCGATGCATCCCCAAGTGTTACACCAAGCAATGTCGTGAGGCATCTGTGTGGTCTTAACGTCGTATTGAATCGACGTGATGATGACAAAAACGGAAGCAACACAAACACTTTGATTATCAGCTGCTGATCTCAAGCATGAAAAAGAAACAAGAGCAACATACATAAAGCCAACGAGAAAAAGAGCGGCAATGGCAAGCTTCTGGCCCAAACGAAGCCGTAGCTTGATCACTTCGATAATGGGCAGGGCTAATATGACAACGTCTAATACGAAGTGCGTTAGGCAAGTGCCAAAGAAAAACTGTGAGTCGTTGATATCACACTTAGCGCCTTCTATAGACTTGTTCCAGTATGCCTGTACTGGAACACATCTGAAGATAACCATGAAGGTGCGTAGGATGAGCCAGCAGACTGTAATGACAACCGTGATCAAGATCGGTGTACGAATAGCGGATAATTGGAAGATTCGCCAGTAAAATAGAAGAACAGATAGCTTGCAGAAACCTATAGCATAAGAATAGGTAAAAGACACCAAAAATTGCATCAATCTCGACCGCATATTGATGACTTCGTATCGGTCAGATCCAACCTCATCAGGTATGTTTCTACCCAAGTACCATGACTCGGCCCCTGAGTAGTCAGTTATTTGATTCATCTGTATAACAGTGTTGTAGGGTTTGTTACAATAGACCATGACACCGCTGTACCCACAGCAGAATAGCTAAAGCTTATCAGTTACTTGTAACATCACCTGCGGATAGAACATCATATTCGCGTACAAATGAGGCTATACAAAAGTAGTCGTCGAGCCACCAGCGCACTTTGGTCATCCGCTTTGCAAAAACTCGTGCTGCGAGCGCCAAAGTGGCGGCAGCCCAGGTGGAAACGACGGCGGTGATAATGTCTGTTGGTAAGCCAGCCATAGTGGGCACGGTGCGGCTCAGCGCTGTTCCAGATCACTGTGAGTGAGATGCAAATCGGATGAAATCTAGAATGAGAATGAAGGTCACCTTGAAGACTGGGAAGGGTGTAAACTTGAACGGTACGGGTTCTTACTACTTCCCTATTGCTTGGAGGAGGTCATGGGGCCCGCTCACTGGACGATAGCCGAGTATGATAAGACAAACACCTCAATTGAAATTCGACATTACTCGCCGCCCTAGTGTGCACCCGACAATCCACGGTGAGACATCCCCTCGTCCGTCTGCGCTTGTCCATAATCTTGGGTTTTGGTAGTCCAATACAGATGATAAGAAAGGAGCGGCTTAGCGCCAGATTCCAGCTCCAATGTCGTTTTGGGTCAACGTGTCTCTTTATTGGCGGTCGGTCCGAACCTTTTCGGTTCATAGATGTGGACCACCGATGCATGCATCACTCGTCTTGCTCATCTCGGACGTCTCGTGAATACGAGAGGGGTAAATACGAAAGGATGGATCCAAGAGCAAATCAAGTATCTGTGGCGTTGTATTACAGGGATGTCTTATCACCCACAGTTCATCTTGTGCATTTTTATTGGTTGCACCACAACAAAGGTCCGTAAGCATTAGGGAGATAGTGGTGAACTCTATTCTATACGATATCTGCTCCTGAATAACGAACGCCACTTCTTATCTCAGTTCGACCTTTCGGGGTTGGAACACCCAACCCGATCTTGGTGCAAGCAACTTGAAGTTCGTAATGACGGCGAAAGGACCGAGTTAAGAGCGGGAGACAGAATGTAGAATCAGGGAACATCCGAAACAGTTCAACTGTTTACTGACGAATGAGATAACACTCAATAGACGGACTAAGCTCCAGTCGCTGGAGGTAGGATGCCCAACCGTTGAAGTATCTGGTCTATCTCCTTTGAAGCATGCATAATATTGAAATGCATGCCGACCCACAATGGTTGAATGACGGCAAGAGTAAGAGTTAGCTCGGTTACACCCACTCTGCTTACCTCAATTGAAAGGTCGTACCACTGATCTTTTTGAGTGATACACAAGACTGAGACCCTCAGAAGAAAAACGAGGACTCTAATTAAGAAAGCTGAGCCATTTTGTACCATGATCTACCATGTTTACCGAATCTACCCTACCGTACAACATGCACACCAATAGTGTTGTCGACAGTTGGATGCCCCATTTGCTTATTAAGCACGCACGGCATCGTTGGCGAGAGTATGGGCTAATGTACAACGATTGCCCGCAAGGGGAGAAGATAAGGCCCTGTTTCAACAATAAGGCGAAGTGGACCAATGTGGGGCGAATGCGTCGAATGATGAACGGGCTTTGTCAGCCAGGCACACTTGCTGATAAGAGCAGCGACAACCAGTTAGGATGATCAAACCCGATCAACTCCTCTAGCGAGAGTATTTTGTTTCTCTCCAGCGGAGCTCATGAGGTCAGGTCTTTTTTCTTAACTTTCCTTGTCCAAATGTCGGGACCATTAATGATACCGCCCCTTGAAAAAAACACTATCGAAGGCACTGACTTCCGTTTTTGCGGTAGACAACACGGACGTCGTGCGTATCTAGTGTGCAGGTTAGGCCCTATGAATCCCATCACTTTTTGGTTGTTACGTATTGACTACGCTTTAGGTGAAGAATGACACGTTGTTCTGGCGAAAAGCCGGCGTGCTCAAGTCGCGTCCGTTTGGAAACGCCGTGCTCTTATCCAGTGATGGCGCCTTTACAGACCGGGACGTGGGTACAATGCAAGGACACAAATTCTAGTAGCACGACACTTATACTGACGACTGCTAGGAGAAAAGACTGGATCTTGCAGAAGGAAAACTCGACCATCTACTAGGAAGCAGCATGTATGTAAAGTACAAGACGGCACGGCTTTTGGGCGCACGCTGACTGCACCTTGCAGGTTCACCCACCCGTCGCCACATCCGACCCCTCAAAATCACTGGCATCAGCAGCAACCATTTGATGTGAGGCTTGAGTGGGCAGCTAACGAGTCGAGTATTTCACACTTGAGCCCTCAGAAACTGCGGGAGCCGGGCTACCTAAACACCCATATCCTCGTCGTACCTGCATCAAGGTATCCAGCGGTGCGGCCTAGCGCGGCCCAGATTTCCATTGGCATTTCGTTCTACTTTGAATACTGCCACAGACAGCCGATTTGGTGCTTTGAACGAGAAGACGTCGGCGACTATGATTCGTTGAATGACGAGCTCGCATGCAGCATCGTAGCTCTCACACTGCGCTTCTCGGACAACCGAGATGGTAAGCCATTGTATAGTAGTAATGCAGGTAGCCTCATCATGCTTAGGATTGCAAGCGAGACGGTGGATATCGCGACGCTCGAAAGTTTGTGTTTACTTTCGTACTCCTCTTTTATTGGTGTGTTATCATCTTTATGCTTAATTCTCATGAGTCACTAGGCTGACACTAATGTAGATGGGAATGCGCTCACTGGCCAGTTTCACCTTGGACTTGCAGTTCAGCTGTGTCGTTCTGCCATGCTGGATGTTGAGTCTGCCCATGGTGTTGAAGATCCCATGCCAGAACGAAAAAGAAGACTATTCTGGAGTCTTCATATCCTCGAGCAATTTTATGGACGACAAGAAGGTCTCTTGCGAATACCAATAGGGATCTGGCGGTCGTCGTTCCTCACCACTCGCGTACAATCGCCGGCTGATGAACATCGAGCAATCAATCTCCCTAAGGATGAACTTGGCTGCCAAAAGTCGTGCGAACTAGGAATCTGGAATTTGAGTATTCACCTTGGCTGGGTGTGGAGCCAGGTTAGGAAGTACATATCCGACTGTGCACATGATATCATTCAGGAGCCCTGGCGGCATGACTCAGCGTACAACAAAGTTCAGGCTGAGCTCATGGAAATCGAAAATAGGATCCCTATATGTCACTGTTACGACACGGTTAGGTTTTTCGAGCGCAAGGTGGGTGATTTGAAAGCTCATCGGGACTATTGGTCACCGTGGCTGAAAGAGCAGTTCACCTACCACGTCATCCTTACCGTTCTCAACCACCCATTACTCTATACTGTTGGGCTTCAGCGTAACCCTAACCTGGCTGTCCCAAATACTTTTTGGAAACGAGCTTCCGAGCTGGCATTGTTCCACTCTACGTGGATCGTTCGTATGATCGATATGGTTATTGACAAGCGAGTGCCGCTGGTGGACCCTTTCGTTGGGCACGCCGCCGCCATTTCTGCGACGGTACATCTGTACTACTGTTGCGCTACTACGCCAGCATTAAGGCACAAGTCTAACACAGACTTTGCTAAGTCTAGAAGGTTTCTAAAAGGCTTTATTTTGACCTCATCTGCTTGCAGAGCATTAGTGAGCATTTTCACTCCCAAGCCGCAAGAGGTTTAGGTAACAATTCCTAGGATCGTGACTTGGATGAAATGACGCGCATCGCTGCCGGATCCGAAACCTTGGCCATAGAAGCCTGGATGCCCTCTAAGATTTATCTTAGCGTTCCTTTGATGTGGCGAATTCTTCGATTCGACGCGGCCGTCAATCTCCACGAAAATCCGGGCGCTGGCTTACTGGACTCAACACTCGTCCCTCGTCCTGCAGAGGATGATCCTTATGATAACTGCGTGCTCGAAATTACCGCCGCTAGCACGCCAGAGATTTCGATCGACGTAGCAAACGGTGGCCAAGTAGCGCTAACACTGTCTTCCTCACATAATTTTGAGACTGCATGATTGAGAATGGCTGATCTGCTAGTGGATACTTTGTGAAGAGTTTTACTTCTTTAAGATGTAGTTTAAACTCTAGCTAATCAATCATTTCATCTCAATCGGTTATGAGCCTGAAAGGCAATGTACGCAAAATTGAGTGTTTCTGTCACTGTTTATGTTCCCCCAATCACCACGACAAGTCCAAAGAATTCATTCTATAAACATATCCACTTACCTGGGGTTATATATTTGGAATTCTTTTTATAGTTCCTGTTTACTAACTAACGACTCTTGTTCAGGAATATCCACGAATGAGCGATTTTAAATTCTTCGTCCGACTTCTAGTCGTTAATTCTAGATTTCTGATAGACTTTCAAACTATGATGGCTGACAACGCAGTTCATGAGCTTGAACCTAGCCCTAGGTCTAGATAGCGTGACTTGACACTCTCCCTCCAAGCCCCGTCGCGTCACGATAATGCTGCTTACATCCCAAGAATGTCAGCTGATAGATATTCATCGGATGATTCGGGCGCTTATATACCGAGACCGCCTAGAGTGGTTTATCAGCGAGTCCAGATCAGACCACTAATCCTGTATTCAGATAATGGAGAGATGCAGTCGATCCGCCCTTACTCGAAGAACGAATCCGACTACCTCGCCAATGAATCCTTTTGGAACGTGCCAATGGTTCTGCCGATCTACTCTGTATTATAGTTCCTATTGTTCCGGAAAACGCGCCATGTCGCTACCCAAAGAGTTACTCTAGGTCGCAGGCGATTCAACCATCATTCCAAAATTAAAGCAATCTAGCCAGTGGCTGACTTGTAAGGTAGAAAGCCAAAACAGCCTCTTCTCAAATCCATTCTACACAACCGCAATGATTGTAGCACACGGGGATGAGACATCGACGGACAAATCGCGGCTTATACAAACGGTCTCGTTGGCCTTGATGATGATTTCCATCTTCTCCGTGCTAATTCGTTCCACTGGGCGCGTCATGTCAGATGCGGGAATGAAATGGTCGAATCTCTTTAAGCTTGATGACCTCTTTTTAATTATATCCACGGTAGTTTCTGTGCCCTATGCCTTATTCACGAATGCACCTACTAAACTACTGGCCACAAGTTCTCATGATCGCACAATCGATTGTAGTGTCACTATTTGGAGCGGCCAATGGACTGGGTAAACCTCATGATGTTACACCTTCGGAGGAGTCTCACGCCCTAGTTAAGTAACCTTCTTCACGCATCGACTCCTTCCATTTCAGCTGACAGGCGACTCTGTCAAAGGCTCAATACGCGTCTGATATTCTTTTCGTCGCCTCGTTGTCCGCATCGAAGCTCTCAGCCATTGCCATGATATGTTCTTTGAAAGATAGGTGCCGAGAGACTCAAACACGCGTGACGATCAGCATCATCTTGACTCTCATTTGGGCGGTTAGCTAGCTAGCTAGTGCTTTATATTTATAGCTAAAGCACATTAAAGTTTGAAATGCTCATCCTAGGGAGGAGCTTCAGCTGTCCAATGCCAGCATTCTGGGATCATATCAACGGCCAGTGCAACAGAAATATTGTACGTATCCTAGTTGAATCAATTTGTGGCAGTATTATCTGATTTTGCTTCATAGGTTATTGCCCTGAGGATTGGCGCTGATGCTTTGCATATTGCCACCGATTTACTCGTCACTGGAGTATTTCTGAGGATCTTCATGTGTCTACAGATGGCTTTGCGCCCTAAACTTGAAGTCGTCGGCATCTTTCTCTGTCGCACCATGTACGTGTGTACTTAAGCCCTGCGTTAATGCCAAGCAAACAGATACGTGCAAGAGGACACGCTAACGGAGAATAGGTCTCTACTCCCATATTTACCATTAAAAGCGCGCGATAGACTCAGGAAACCCCCTATTTGACATCTGGGTCTCAGTAGTTCTGGTTCAGATTATGCAATACGTGGTGCGGGAAATATCAATTCACATAAAACCATTAATGATGTTGTCTACAAGTGACTGACTAATTGTTTTAGTTCGCATATGGAGGCCGTCAATATATTGATGTTCGGTGCCATCGCGAGATCTGCGGACAGGGGAAACCTTGTATTTGCCTCCCCCGGCCAGATCTTGTCCGGCCAGCAGGCTTAGAAGATGAGTGTAGCCCGGTTCCTTCCAAGTTTTCTCCTCCCATTGGACCACGACTTATGAGAGACCTTTTTACTCACCCAGAAGATATAGAACCTGACTCTGAGTTAGTGCTTCGTTAGCTCCCTAAATGGACCTACGGAAACCTACCAACACGACGTATAGAAATAAAGGAAACATGGGACATCTATTACGAAGAGGACTGGGACTGGACAAAGATTTGGTGGATTCTTGGACTTGGATTCTTCCCTCCCAGTCTGTTATTTGGTATTTTCTGGGGGATCTTGAAGAAGGATATACAAGGTGCATTTAGCATAGCGAGTTGGTGGATGACAGGAGCTGTTATTGTGATCGGAATCGTTGGAACTACCACATAACTAGGGTCATACACAGGATCAATTCACTAAGCCGATGAGAGACGTGCCAGTCTTTTGTTAAGTTATTTACAAAAGTGTCCACTCTGACACTTGATCTTTGTTTGGTCATTGCCACATAAGTGACTAGATACCTGAGATGTGACACGCAAAGCATACATATCTTGACTACTCCACTTGATACTGGGCCGTTGTATAATAGTCGAAATAAAGGCACATATCGGCATTATTTGGCGGATAACTTCAGTAGCTTGGTCTAAGCCTTATATGCTACATTGGGAAATAAGATATCTGGACTTTGTGTGTCAGGGACTCGGTGCGATACAGTAAGGTACGGGTTCAGCGTCAGTAAGCCATCATTGTAAATTCACCGAGGATAGCCAAGAATGGACTAAACGTGGCGCATTCACAGTGTACCAGCAGCCCCAATACGATCCATACCCTAGCACTAACAGCACAAACATGCTTGAAAACTCGAGCATCAATGGCCCCGCCTGATGATCAACTCCATTCAGCCCGATTTCCATTTCTGACTATATTTACCTAATGATTACATGTGTATATGCACCCCGTTAACGAACACACAAAATACTCGTTGATTATCATCACAGCTAGTTCGGTATACGATACGGTTGATATAGACCCTCAAATAGAAATGGAGATCAATCAAAACCCTTACTCTTTGGGATCCCCATCTGCGACAACGCCCGACCTTCCTGCGCATAACCTCTCGTAAGGATCTATCTTGCAGCTTTCCTTCTTCCGATTGATGAACGTGCGTGACCGCCAAAGACTGGGCTGGCTCTATAGATACAGTAACTGTTGTAGCGCCTCCCGTGTACAGGCGAGGTAGGCCACGTTCTGCATCGTATTCGGATGCCTTTCTCCAAGCATATGGTGGCGAAGGTCTAGGGTGTTCTGATGAAGCTGAAGGGCTTCATCATATCGGCCCTGATTATGGTATGTCGTCGCGAGATCCGCCATGCTTCTGATCGTATCTAGATGCTTCTCCCCGAGCACCTCTCGTCGGAGTTCACCTCCTCCTTAATTGTACTTTTCTCGGTACCTATTGTTAGTGTTTTCGCACAATCTACCGCGCTACCCTTAAAACCAACCTGCGGCCCCAAATTTTCACACTGAGCCCAGAAATTACCATGGCCTCCGGGCTCACGGCCGGCACAGCAACGCCATATCGCTCAACTTCGACGCCACAAAAGCTTGACGATATCACGGATTTCTTTCCTAATTGTCATGTAATTATTGATAAATTCACTTTTCAATTACATTTACGCCCTGCTTATCTATCTTGTCTTCTTACAAACCACTAAAATAAATCACTTTACGGCTACAAGTCCGGATCGGTTAGTATAAGCTGGTTGTCTAGCATGGTCCTTAGCACATAAGTGCCTGGTATATAGGGACACCTTTACTATTACATACTGAGGGGACTTTGAAAAGACTTCATCATCATTACAAATATATAATATACATATATGTGTAAGTCACTGTGTTGAATTATTATAATGCTACATAAATCACTCTCAATACTGTTACCCCCTTTCCCCCTCCTCCTTCCCCTCCTCCTTGTTTCTCCCTATCTATCAAGTCCTCGAGACATCCATCAAGCTACTGTCCTCCGATGCAGTGGTTGCAGTAAGCGTTGACTCAGTAATCCGTTACATTGTACTGCGGCGCGGCCTTTGGAGCGTCGCAGAACCCGCTTTGACCAGAACGTGTACGCTTGCGGCCGCACTTGAGGGGTTGGCATTGGACAAAGCGTCCACAGAGCCCGTAAAAGTGATACCATCCGCAGTAGCAACGGCCACTGAACACCTTAGACTGTTCTGCTGCCCATCCAATATTCTCAGGCTCAATCCATTGTGCTTGATTAGCCATAATGGATTGTTTTTCAGCTGCTTTAAAATATATGTTTCCTTTGCACTGCGAAAGTTAGCGAACCGCAAGATGCAGCAGAGCTATGAGTATACTAACCCTGGCTCAGTACTAGGCTGAAGTTCAATACGATGATTTTTGTGAATTTCTTTCACAAAATAGGTATCGTAGATCTCAGTACTAGCTCGATATATGTGTTTGGTGTGTATACTGCCGTCCTATCCTTTAGTTAAGATAGTTATCGCCATTATATACTTAGACTTAAAGGATATTGTTGAATATACGCAGGGGTATCACGTGCAAGCAGGGATGCTACTGATTACGCGCCAAAATGGCGACGCCCTCAGGGGCAGATTTGAACATAACATGAATATACCAATTTTACATCAATGAACCGAATACATGTAATGTCTGACAGATATCAGCCCACGTTTCTCTAGCCAATCAAGCAGAGCCCGACCAGGTTCGTTGGCGCGCGGTTATCCTTACTATTATGAGCAGTCTTACTTTGACTTTTCTGTTAGCTCTATAACTTAATTTGTTTAAAATTTAGTTGCTAAGGTAAAAGGGAAAAGGGCTATGCCTAGGCATTATTGCAAAAATCGTAGCCGCGCGGCTGCTAACCCTGTAACGAATCCAGTCACAACTAGAGCACTTTCTGACCACTTTTCACACAGTGCGCCATAATGCCAAATAGGCATAGTAGTGAACTACCATCACTAACCCCGCACTCTTTTCATCTTTACTGATTTCACTCTCCAAGTCATCCTCCTTCTCACTATATAGTTGCATCTGCCTTGCTCCTTTACTATTTAATCTCTGTGCCCAACTTGCCCAAAGAATGCAACAATATGATTGACGACGATTCCAAGTACTTTTCTCTGAGCGGCAGTATCCCTGTTGGTGGTCCCAGCACTTGGCACATTACTGATTGGGATCAGAGACGCGTCGTTTCCGTAACCATGGACGGAGAGCAGGACGACGAAAGCCTCGCTATTGAACATTTCAGCCGCTATAGTGATCAACTACCTCCCGATATTTATAGAATTTATGTATCGCATACCGGTGAGATCATCTCGACATATAACGATCTAAAAGATGATGAGACCTGTTGTATACACTATCCAACCCTTCAAGACATTTGTCTCCCGGAAGGAGTTCAGACAGTGCGGCGAGATCAACTCGAGGAACTCGAGAGGCTTGGTCCCGATGTGGACCTTGTTGCATACCCTCCATGCCTAGACGGATCTGCTAAGAAGGTAAAATCTAGGTTCCTTAGATTATCTCGTGCTGTAATAAAGCTGACTCTTGGGCAGGCTATCTTTAAATACTACTTCTTGTGGCAGTATGCATAAATGTCCTGGAAGGAGATGAATTTGTGGATGCGCCTTCCACGCCATCCAAATATTGTTCCCTTTGACCGGGTGGTCGTTGACGAGCTTAAGGGTCGAGTAGTCGGATTTACCAATGTCTATATGCCTGGCGGTAATCTAGAGGAGAACAGGTCGCGCGTTTTTAAGCTGGAGTGGCTCCGGCAGCTTATAAAGGTCGTGGATGACTTGAACCTCGAATATGGCATCATGCACCAAGACATTGCCCCACGAAACCTGCTGATTGATGAGTCGACAGACTCTATCATGCTCTTTGACTTTAACTTTGCGGCTCGTAGGGATTGCCCTTCACCTGGAGAGGGTGAAGAGTACGTCGAGGACCGGAACGATATTAAAGGCGTTATATTCACCACCTACGAGATTATTACCCAAGACAATAGTCTTAGGAATATACCGCACGAAGATCAGAACGTTAATAACCTTGTATCAAAGTGGGTGAAGCATCCAGAGGTAAAGTTAGACCATCCAGTTGCATCATATCAGCTTATGTTACAAGAGTGGCAAGATCGAAGGGCAGGAGTCTGTTTAGGTGATGTTCCTAGTGCCATTGACTTGCCGGCCATGCCCAAGCCACCGCTGAAGACCATTTGCTTGAAAGATGCACATGGGCAGCCAGTCTATTCGACCGTGGATAATTTTTATGAGAGGCGGCGAGATGCGTGGGCTAAGGGTGATAAGGTCCTAAACTGGCAACGGCCGCCGCAGAGGCTTCTAGATAACGGAGTCCGGGTGCTCTCTAGTGGTGAGATAGTGAACTGCTGAAAATCCCGTGGTTCTATTGATAATTCAGAAGTCATCTTAAGGCTAAATTGTTTAGAATCCTATATGATAGCTTTCAAAAATTCCTCAGCACAGAAGAAGCTAGAAGTGTACTGTGCTTTGGCTGGTAAAAGTGAAAACCTGGTTTCCCTTGGGTGATTCTACCTTACTTACTAACAACTGTTGGTTATAATTTAAACGTTGGTTGTTAGCTTTATAATCCCTGTTATGAACTGGCCTGGTGAGGCATATTTGGTAGCTCGCTGACATAGCCCTTTTCTTTTTTTAAACATTTGGCCTTGGCCTACTAGGCCGCATTACTGCACTGTCAGGCGGATGGCATCATGTTAGATTGCTGTCTTGTATCTTCCCTTCATACGTTGAGTAGGCCAAAATTTTCACGTAACCGCCTGTCTGACATATGGGGAAAGCCTTGGGTTGTGGTGCTAAAGTGCGTCTGAGATAGGATCCATGACGCGGCGAGGCCAGTCCTTTGCCGTCGGCACTTCTTCGTGAGGGCAAGGCAGCTATATACTCGCGCGGCTACACAGCGTCGTGACGGTGCTAAGCGCCTTCAATAAGAAGACCGTCTGGTAATTTTAGTAATGTAGATAGCAGATTTAAGTCCAGAACATAAGGGGTATTTAAAGAGTCCTAATAACAGAAGAAATATTACTTATATTTCTATTAAGTCTAATATTTATTGACTACTCTTGCTTAGCTATAAAAGAAAAACATACTTATTCTTTAGCTTCTGTTAGTTAACTGTCGAAACCCTAGCGAGGCAAACTGAGGATAACATTCTTGTGCCGACTTTGACTCCGCTCCTATCTGGATCTCCATGGGTCAACTACACCCAAAATTTCGCTGTCA